ATCACACCACTATCACTTTATCTCGTAACCTGTCTCTAAACACTCCTGAATACTTTTTTATTTCGTATTCTTTTTTTTAATTTTAGTTTTATATACCTCTGTAATTTATGTATTTACTTGTACTGCTGCAACAACCACATTTCTAATCAAAAAAGGTACACTTGTCTTTAAGATATCTTTAATAAAAAATTATACTATATTTATATCATACTGAACATTTTTAGTTTTGGACAATATTAGTTGGATAAATCAAGACATTTGATGGTGCCACCTTGTGCTCTAGGATAATGTGATGGCCAATTTTAATTGTTTTAGAGACTGAGCAATGATAATAACCAGGACCAAATAAAACTCTTTTTCCTCCTTCCAAAGACAGGTGAGTCACAGAGGAGTGTGACTCAGTAGACAGCAGCCCGCTGATAAACATATACAGAACACACATTCACACTATAAAGCAGCACAAGATATGAATGAGTTCCCACAAGACACCAGAGGCCGTCACTGACCAACCAATCCACTGTTTCTCTAAATCACAATCACTCCTATGTTCCTATTTAATAAAACCACTCCCTAACGTGAGAGCAAGTTGCTGTCATCCTCCTGCTCATCTCTGTGCTGGAACCTGTTTGACCGTCTATCTTAACTTAGATGTCAAGAAAACAACACAGTAACAACAATTATGTGCCTCTAACGTAATGGAAGACCAGTGAATTAAAAGTAAACTGCCACTCTGAGGTTTATCTTGGCATTTCTGATTAAATCTCAAGTGTTTTATTTCCACATGAATCGTCGATAACCCTGAAAAGAAAATGGAAGTACAGAGCAGGTATAAGTGAAGTGAAGAGTGTTTTTGTTTCATTGAAAAATCTTTATCACTCCATTCAGGTAGAAGCACTGGAACTGAGCTTGACATAATTACTGTATATGGATATAAATGGTACACCTGTCATTTATAAAGCACTAATTAAGAGTCTCATTAGATTCTTGTCAATTAGTGAGCCCTGTAGTGGAACACTCTCAGCAGTGAGCATACAGGTAAATGTCAGCTAATGACTAAGATCTAGCTGTTTCTGGATTTCTGAGATCGATATCATTACATTATAAAGATATGACTATATCATCTGATATTTGTTTCTTGAAAGAACAGTTTGACATTTTGTTCCTTCCATTCCTGCCAAGAGTTCGATGGAAGATTAATACCACCTTCATGTCTGTCCAATTTGATTAGCTTAGCTTAGCATAAAGACCAGAGGCAGGAGAAAGATTGAGAGTAATAAAATATCCCTCAATTCTCTTATCACCTATTTCTTATTTACACGTTCTAAGTTTGAATATTTACATTGCATTTAAAATATAAACAGTGTACTGACTCTTCACACAACACCAGAGCAACTGCATATCTAGCAAACATATGAAATCTCTGCATTCCAGACTGCCACTCGCTGCTACAACTTTAAGCAGAACAAATCAGCAAGAATCAACTGCGGCTATGCTGCCTGTTAGCTACAGTGCATTCATGTCTAGAAACCCTATGAATCAATATCTGTCGGCCCATTTTTAGCATGAAAGAGACAAATCCTGATCCTCCTGGTAACAAAACTACTCCGACCCTTTGAGAACAACAGGAATACTTGCAGCACACACATTTTATAATCATCTTTTTTGTTTTTCTGACACTGTTTTCACCCAAGTTTTGTGTGTTTGACCGAGCAAAGCACAAGAAGGTTATTGCTGGTTTGGTCTGACAGAGTGCAGCTTTGCAGAGTTGCACAATCAAATCTGTTCAGCCTCGAGCCATTTCTGGTGGTCATATGACCAAAAGTGTGAGGCAGAAAGGGAGGGAGAGCAATGCAGAGAAAAGGAGAGATTTTGAGGTCAGCATACAGCGAGTTAGGGAGAGAAAAACAAAGTGGTGGAGGACTGAAGTGACCGTACATTTAGCTGAAAGAAGATTTAAGATCAGTTCGAGGAATGATTGAGAGGAGGGAAATTAAAAATTAAAAGGGTCATTAATATAGTAGAGCTACTCAGCTTTCCATAAAAGGCTATTGTGCTTCGATATATCAGCCATACATAGTCATACTCTCCTGATCAGGCTTTAAGGGGGTTAACAGTGAAAACTGTGTAAAGACACAGAGCTTGGCTACTATATAAAGCATTGCTTAAGCCTACAGAAACACTGCGAGAACACTGCAACCAGTTTATTGATTTTAACTAGGTTTGGAAAAGCCTGTTTGACCAAGGGCCCGGCTGTTAACACCGCAGGTGGTAGTACTGTTTGGTTTTGTCAAATGTATTTCTCAAACAGAAGAAGACCATGCAGATTACTGGGGCTTCATTGTTAAAAATGTGTTTATGACTCAGAGGCATTGATTTAGATGATAAATGATCTGAATTTGTACTTTTCAGACACTAAAAATAAAGACAGAGCCATTGTAACTTATTGATTTTTTTGCATCAACACTGTTTTCATTAACGGGGCCTAGCATCATGGAGAATGTATAGTAAGAAACACACAAGGAAGAGAGGGAAAGTTAATTATTTACAGGCTGTTTCTAACTCCACGTCAGCCTGTGCAGTCAGCTTTGAACTGAACATACAGCACATGACAGGACTCTGTAACATACCGTCTAAACCTGCTGAACTGTAATGACCACATGGTTGTTTTCATAGTTTTGTAACAGCAGTGAAAAATGCTCTTGTCATCTTTCAGCTGCCCTGGTGGCTGAATGGGGTCAAAGGTTGCAGCTGAAAAATCTTTCTCTCTAAGAAGAGACAACAGAGCATCAGAGAAGCACTGTATTATGTAAGAATCACAGCCATAAGAGCCAAATTGAAATATCCCCATATTCTGGGCATATCTGGGAAATTAAAGAGTTAAAAATCATCCCCAGCAGACTTTGATGGTCAGAAACGTCAGCTAAGTGCTGCACACTAACTACTCTAACCTAAAACAACACTTGACAATAAATAATTACAATTACCCAATTATGCCTTCTGACCACAAACTCACTGTATCAGAAACACTCAATATACAGCGTGCCGATTTTTGACTAAACAAAGAAAATCTCTTTTGTTATCTGTGGTAAAAAAAAGTTTGCTCAAATACTCAGGAACACGCTGTACAGTCGACGTATTGACACATGCAATGCAACAACAAATAGCTTTAATATTCTGATAGTGCTCCTCTGGGGCGTTACAGTGTTTGTGCTCTGATCGACTAACTGTTTCCGCTTCAGTTAATTTGTACTGTAGACCATTATTTATTTTATTTTATTAACATTTTGTGTAGTTTTTTATAATTTTTTTTTTTGCTTTTATCATCTTAACTCCTCATCTTTTATTGTCTTATTTCAATAACTTTTTCTTTTTGTTGTTGTTTTGCCATGCATTGGTCTATAAATACTGTTTAAACACCTGCTTTGTCAATTGCTTGTAAATCAATATGAACTGCGTTTTATTTGTCTGAAAGGTTCTATATAAAGAAAGTTTGATTGATTGATTTGTACTTAATAGATATTTCATCACCTTCCTTGGTGTTATATTTTCTAACAGGGATCTATTGAGTCATTTTATTTTATCCAGAGTTGAAACAATTATTCGTTTCAATTAGGCTAGTTGATTGGGAAGAATAAAGTTAATTTTGTAATAATTAAACTATTTTGATAATCAGTTAATCATCTGAATAATTGTTCAAGCATTTTTCAGACACTGTGACATTGTGAATCTATTTGGGTTTGTTGGACAGACAAAACAACACATCTCTCTGGGGATTTTTTTTTTCTTTTTCATGTTTTAAAAACGATTAATCAAAAATAATAATCTGAAGATTAATCAATATTGAATATAATCTTTGGATTCAAACCCTAATTGCATCCTTCTGTTGGAGGGTTATTTTCATTATTGACCCATGTTTATTTTTAAATTCTGACATTAAAGAAGGATTAAATCACGATTCATCGATTATTCGCCGATTAAGTTTCTGCGATCAACCATTTGATTGATTGAGTGAGTTTCAGCTCCTCATTCCTTCTCCAATTAGCTACATTTTGTTTGTTTTGTTTTTTTCAGGATGTTCCAGAAACTTAACAAAGACTGAAAGCGTTTTGCATCAGCTCTCATATAAGTTATATAATGTACCACAGGGCGGAGAGCAAAAGTTTCAATTCCCTTATAGGAGTCTGCGCGCTGCGGAGGAAATAAACTCAGTGGTCGACAACAACACAATAAACTACCGGATATCTTTGCGTATCCTGTAAAGTAAACACTGCTGTTAGAGCGACGACGTCGGAAGTAACACAACCAAATGTTCTGAGCGCGGCCGAAACATCACAAACACACGACAACCGCGTTGGAATATCAACACTGATTTCTTCTCCTTCTTTTCCAAAGGGCGCGTCCACTCTGCGTGAAACTGTTGGGTCACTTTCTGACATTGTTTAAACAGCTGCAGATTCACTCACCTCCACGGCAGCTGGTTTAAAAAAAAAAAAAAAATCCACAAACACCAGATCACCAGTCACCACTTCGGAGAGTTTTTACGCACGGCTCGTCCGACGGCAGGAGGTCTTCCCCGGTTCGGTCAGGAAAACCAGCAGATTCACGCGAAAAGGGCGAAATGTGCGGAGCTGTGTGCGTCGCTGCTCTTCTGCGTCGCCTCGGGCAGACGTCCAAAGACTGTCGCGATGATGGTGATGGAGGTAGTGGTGGTGGGAAGGCATTTCTGCACCGACATGACTCTGCAACTCTCGAGCAAGTACACTGCAAACCCTGCGCCGGGAGTACGCATGCACCGAGACCTACATGGCAACAAGTCAGGAGAGGCATTCCTCAAACTGAAACTGAACCTCAGCCAGGGCAGGACAGCTTCTGTGATTATACAACAGCACGCCACAGCAGCAGGATCTTATCAAGAAACTCCCTCCTTTTGTGCATACACACACACATATACACACACACATTTCCCAGGAGAATAGGCTTGTAGAGGAAATCCACAGCAGTTCCTACAAAGTTTGATTGATGACTCATGGAGGAGAATAAAACAGGCTCTGCTCATTTAATTTCGGCCCTGATGTATCATGTTGACTGATGGTACTATTTTATCTTTTAACAAACAGTAAGTCTTCTAACAACATGTAGGACATTTAGGAGATTATTTTAATGACACTATATCAGCCGATAAGGCTGTATGTATCCCATGTGAGTCCTGTGTGATAAAAACAAGACAGATACGGTGAATAATTAGTGACAGAAGAGTTTTACAAAAACCGACAACAAAAGAGCCAATGTGGGCAGGTAAAAGTATGGTTAGAGATAAAATGAGATGAGACAGAAAAGCCGAAGAAAAAAAGGAACACATGATTCAGCATAAATAGCAAAAGAGGTATATTTCCCCATTCTTATGACTCTTTCTTTGGAAAATGAGACCAAACCCTTTAAGAGATTTCCTTAGTCATTATTAGTCCTCATGACCAGAGGTCAACATTCAGCAAAATCAGGCTTTTAACCCTTGAAGACCTCATAAAGTCTGCCAACGGTAGCAGAGACCTGCTTCCTAATAAACACAGCTGGGGAGATTCTGTTAATGCAACCACTCTCCAATACTTTTGATTACTTTGTTTCCAAAAGGGAGAAACAGGAGAACTCTGAAAGCATCTGCTACACTTCCAACAGTAATTATCATCCATATTTTAAGTTTAACTTCCAGTGTATAATAATACTCCTGTATAATTACAAGTCACAACCTCTTCATTAATGTTCTGTCTTTGTCGTTGTCACAGAGAAGTTCTCACTATCCAGCTCCTCCTCCTGCGCAAGGGGATCTCCAGGTGTTACCAGACCAGCTGGGAGATGTTATGCTACAGTAGATCTCCCCAGGGTCCCCCCCCCCAAAGGGAGGCAGCCAAAAGGGATGTTAAAGTCACCTCTAGTGGCATCTCTCAAGAATTGTGTAAGTTCCCTTTTAAAATGCTTTTGGTCTAGAAAGCTTATGAGCATTGGTGAGGTTTGAAGAAACCACTGGTGAATTTTTGAAAAAAAACAATAATAAGAGGACCTTCAGTTAAGTTATTTTAATGAAAACCATCAGGCCTATCTCCAAATTTAGAGATTTTGAATGTATCAGATGAACTGAAGGATTGTGTGTATTTATTGGTCGAATACTTCTCCTACTTCTTAATCTAAAACCAATTGGATTATTTTAAAAATGCTTTACCACAAAGCTGAAAACAGAGGTGTTTTTCTTCAACTTGATTGTTTTGGAGACACCTGGTTTCCACAGGACAGCAATTTCAAGGTAAGTTGTTCATCTCCATGGTCTATTGCAAAGTCTAAATTACTCTGTGATCCGGCTGACTGGGCTGATTAAGAGGATGAGTTTGTTTGACAGCCTGAAAGTCAGTGTACACACACAGAACTGCTTTCTTGAAACATTTGAATTTAAAAAGATTATTCAAAAAGAAAAATAAAGCTTAAGGGCTTATGTGCTTCCCTGTAGGATCTTTTCTTTTCAATTTTATTTGTATAGCACCAAATCCCAACAGAAGTTATCTGAGGACACTTTGAATACAGAGCAGGTCTAGGCCGTACTCCTTATATATAGAAAAAAAATGTTCTCCCTAAGATACACAACCCCCTCCACTTGGAATAACTGCCCTCCCCTTCACCTGGTATCTTTTTCTGTTTGGGTCTATAGTCTTAGACATGTAATCAAATGCAGCCAGACCTCAGAAGAACCTTGATATCCTGTCCATGGAAAATCTTTAATAACAGGAGAGGTGACACCCATGGCAGGTGGCCAACATTGAACGTGCTTGACTTCACTTTTGACTTAAGCAAACCTAGCACTTGCTTTGAATTTACAGGGAATGGAAGACTTGAAACTGTAACCAACTCCCAAGAATTCTCCAGAATGAAACAAGCTTTTCCAAGTTCTTCAAATACCCCTTGCAAACTCGTCTAGCAACTTCCCACAGTCTCTCTTTTATCTCTACTGGAGGAAGACAAGTTATTTATATTTGCACTACATCCTCTTCAGACACTTCTTACGAACTTTTAATAAGTGGTAGTGACACAAATTAAAGTACAAAGATAGTGATTAGAGTCTGGATTTGTGTTCATCTCAGGTGGAAACTTTAGATTATCCTTCACTAAACTTTTATTTTGTAGGGCTATGAATCCTGACCATATAGGCTATGTGAATGTCTTCATGACATCTAGGGAGCACATGATTGCTTTTAAACTTCATTCTAATCCTCCCCTTGAACACTGTAATTATAGAAGCTGTCTCAGTTGTTACAGATGGGTGTGTTTGATTTTCATATGTGTGGTATTCATGCAGTCTGCGTTCTCTCAAGATAACATTAGTATCCTCGCAACACACCCACCAATACCAAGAAACATAAAAACAAAAATGATGATGTGCGGGTTGCATAATGTTACGTTAATGATTGCTTCACTAGAACTTTTCTGCTTAGTTAAATGGCTGCAGATTGTCTCTGTTTCTCATTAAAAAACACAACAGCAAATTCATGATGATGTGAAATTGATTGAATTGAATTTATTTATTAGATTGAGACAATTCAATTTAAAATAGTTCCAGTACAAAACATGAAGCTGATGTGCTGCACTATTGCTTATATTCAGCTCTTGTCTCTTGTTGGGCCTTTTGGTAAGATTTTGGTAATCAAACTAGAGACGATGACCTGTGTGAAATCATGAATTAAGCTGTTATTTCACTGTTTAATAGCTGAGCATAGGACACTTTGCAAAATAATATAAGTAGCTCAATTTTCTCAAATATCTCCTATTTTGACGCTTTCATCTTTTGGAGCCGACTGTTGCTTTCAGGCAATTGTTTTGTGTCACACTCCTTTTTCTTTGTTGGTTATTTTATCAGCTGCAAATACTTTTTAACTAACACAAACCAAAACTTTTCCTGGTGTAATAAAGGTATGAATGTTACACTAAGAGGGTTTTCTTTTCCATTAACATATTATTGAAGGTGATTCACATCTGATGATTCATTTTGTGAAACAGACTATGGACAATAAAGGTGTGGTAACTACATGTTCAGGAATTTCTGTTCCTGCATGTGTGTTCCCGTAAATGTTTTATATTTATTTTCTGTGCTGAGCAAAACCAGAGTTATTGTCTTTGTTATTTTGCTCGCTCTTCGTCCTTCAACACAACACAATGATGAGGAGAGTATATGTCATACATCATTCTGCACAGTAAAGATCAAACATCTAACTGTAGGAACCAGGCCAAGCCAGTGTTAGATAATATGTTATTATATTTGCTTATTATCACTGATGCATTGAAGTATATGCAGCATTTTACTGTTGCTGCTAATTTTTACTACTTTATATGCTGTTGGGTTGTTTAACTCTAGCAATGCTTGTATTTTATAAACAATACTCAGGTAAAGAGTAAATACTTAAAGTACAGTACTTGAGTAAATGTATTAGATTACATTCCACCACTGGAAACTGACAAAAATATTATTTAACTTAACGAAATAGAGACATATTTCGTAACGTAATACTGTCAAAAAAAGAGTAGCTATATTAGAAGGAGTAATGTTGGAATTAACAATGATGTTTACTTTGATATGCTATCGAAAATGTAATGAAATACTGAGCTGGATTTTATTTGTTTTCTGCACCTGTGTTTCACTCAGGCATTATGCTCCAGTCCACTTACCGCTACAAGGAAGTAATAAAACAAAGTACAACAGCATGGTGACACAGCACAATGCTGGCCTCGTTTCAGTTCTGTCACAGTGATCACTTGTCTCTCCTTTCCTCTTTTACAACCTTTGTGCCTTCTCCTTTCCTCGTCCCCATCCTCTACTGCATCTCGTGTCTCCTTCATTCCCTCATTCCCTTATTTCTCTCTTTACATAAAATGTCTGTTAATTTCCTCCTTTCCCCGTTTGTTTGCTGCCAGTGAAGCAGTAGTAATGAGAGATAATCATAGCTTAGAATATCCCTGGTTTGAGCTTTAACTTCATAAAAGAACTAAGGATGTCTAACTCCAACAAAAAAAGACCTTGTTTGTTTGTGAACACACTTGTTAAATTAAGGGGTGATTTGAAAATGCTGCTGGGTTCATATCAAAGCTGGCTGTGTTTGGAGGAAGAACCACAGGATTTTATTGACCTTTGTGTTAGTTTGATAATGAGAGGGGGGTAAACCTGACATCATGCACTGTGAATGTGCTGCCCTCTGCTGTTTGTACACAGAAACACAAGCAACTTAAAAAAAAAACACTAGTTAAAGGGGCACTCCGCTACATGAAGTTTACTCTTGATGGGGAGTAAAACACAGTCTTTTAAAAAAACAGTTGTTTAAAGTCTTCTGAGACTCTGTAGGGAGATGTACAAAGTTGAAAAAAATACCTCATCTTGGGCTTGAGACCTAACATTTTTACCAGAAAGCCTGTGGAGACGAGCATTTTTCAGACTTAAAGAAATATTTCAGATTCTAGCCAAGATCCTGAGGTTTTACAGATAGCAAATAGTTAATAATAATCATTATATAGCAATAGTGTGGGTGTTAACAAGCTTGTGTTGCCAATATTATAAGAGTCTATATTACTATATGTCACTGATTACATTTTGAATGCGGGACTTATACTTGTATAAGTATTTCAACACTGTGGTATTTCTACTTTTACTTAAGTAAAGGTACTTCTTCTTCCACCACTTTCCACGACAATACAGTGGAGTTAGTTATCTATAAAGTAGGTTAGTAGGTCTAGAAAGTAGCAGATAATTGTAAACAGTGTGTAAAATAGCCATCAAATTATTAAGAGCAATAGTCTACTTATATATATATATATATATATAAAATTGTCCTGCTCTGTAAATACAGTAACTAACGTTCACCGTAAATACACCTTACAGTTATAACAAATAAAGATCAAAGGTTCCTATTCCTAATTCTAATGGATGACTTGAAAAACAAGATTTCCGAGAAATGCCTGGAATTTGACACGTTAAAATATTTTTGTCACAAAACTATTGCAAAAAGAAATATCTTACTGACCTACGCATATAAAAGTTGGGAGAGGAATAAATATTTAATATTACATTTAACATAAATATTTATTCACAGGTGCATCGTGATTGTAACAAACATTTTCACATGCTGTAATTTTCAAGGGAGAGCCAAGTAAATAAAAATATTTGTCATTACTTAAAATGTTAATATAACAAAGTGTAGAGAAACAGCATTAAAACAGTAAACATATGTAAAAATGCGAATTACAGTTGCTCCATCAGTCCATTAAATTACTACTTTATGAAACAATTTCATGTAAATCATCAACCTCATTTCCACCTCTGGCAAACACAGGTGGCCATGCCTGTAATTGTGCATGATCCATAAAAAAAAGATGACGGCAGTGTTGGAGCCCACACCAACACCATGCCAACTCTAATAAACATTCACTGCCCGTAGAGTCACTATCCTCAGAATAACAACGTAATCCTCTTCTTCTCAGTTTTATAGCGGTTTATGCCTTGGTGCGTGATGCCCATCACGCACAACACATTGGATCCAGATGGGAGGAGGCAGAAAAAGAAGGAGAAAGAGAGAGAGCGAGAGAGGGAGAGAGGGAGAAACAGAGACAGAGAGATAGAGAGAGAGCACGGTTGATGTACATCTGTCATGCATTATTGCGGCGAATGCCAGCACTGCTATCCTGGCTTTAGAAACTATGTGAGGAGGGGGTTGATGGGTCCTCCTTAAATCACAATCTGATTCCTCCTCCTCCTCCTCCTCCTCCTCCTCCTCCTCCTCTCTGCCGCCGCTCCTTTTTAGTGACTATATCAACACACACAAAAAAAACATTGTCTCTTTTCTCAAACATTGGGTGCTTTCTTTCTGTCTTCCGCACACACACCAACATGCACACACACCAACATGCACACACACACCACACGCTATCCCCCGATGAATTCCTCAGGAAGGAGTCAGCCTTCTTCATTCCTCTGGACACAACTTTTCCTTAACAAGGTACTGATGGTCTTGACCTCCTCTTCAAACAAACCCTTCCCTCCAATCAGGGAGGATTGTGGAGAAGGGCTCAGCCGAGGCCTGTGGGTATTACAGAGGAAACGTCCTGATTCTCCTTGATTACTCCCTCTCTCTTTCTCTCTCTGTCTGTCTGTATTCCCCCTCTTTCTGCCCCCACTCTCTCTCCAAATATCTCTGTCTCAGTGGCTTCTGGCTCTCCTGTTGTCTCTAACCCAATCTCGAACTTTTCTTTCCTGTCTCTGTCTGTCTACTCACTGTATTTTCTTTCTCGTCTCATCTGCATCCATCCCTCTGATTATTCCCTACTTTGCTATTCAGAGTTTTCCAGTCCCTCTATGATGAGCTTTTTATCCACTTTGTTTTAGTGTAACTTACCAAATATGTCTCTTTCTATAATTAAGACTAGAAAGAAGAATACTGTTAAGATGCAGTATTGTACTATATGTGTGTTCATTTTTCACAAACTGACATGTATGACAGGGCAAAGGCTCACATATGTAATTAAAATAAGTACTCTTTTAAAACCCATGTGACTATTAGGATAAGTTCAAAGACCTAAGTTTAATTAAACTTTGTCAGGAACATTTTCAAGTTGTATTTGTTTTGAATTGTTCGCTGTATTTTCTTTTTCTCTATTAAATCTTGTTTTCTAAAAATAAACAACATAAGAAACACCACATGTTTAAAATAACCAATATTTATCTAGTAAATCATCTTTACAACAATTCATTATTTCCTGTTATTAACCAATACATGTGTGGGTTACAAATATGTATTTCTAATAGAAGAAACAGCCTATACCATGTGCCATGTATCATAGGGAATACATGCATCATTATAGTTGTAACATTGATAGAAAGACACAAAAAAACATTGTAGTTGCTTAAATGAAGTCTGCGTTTTAAATTTTCATATTCTTAAGGGCACTGTGTCACATTACTTTACTAAATATGACTTCATTTTTAATACAGTTCCAACATATTGATAAAGTGACTTGATTGTGCATCAAATGCTTTCTTCCAGCACAAGAGTAGTTGTAAATGGTCACATGTAGAAGAATCTGATCTGTAACCTGTTGCAGTTGATTCTGTGTGGTATTATTTTCTCTCATGTGGGGATTTATTTTTCTCAAAGAAAATAAATAAATATTGTGAAATATATAATTAAAACACACTCACTTTGATGCATTTTGTGAAAGGGCATATTGAAGCAGATTTCTGCTTTCTTAATGTGGTATAACGTGCAAAGACTCAAACTCAGATTGGCTTGGGGCCACTGCTGGTATTGTAATCTCATGAGGGCCACTTCAACGTCTTACAAGAAAGCACAATATTCTGAAAATATTTCTTTACTAAGAGCATACCTAGAAAAAGTTTGTTAGTTTAATGTGTTAGCATGCTAGCATTTGCTTAAAAAAAGCATTAAACACAAAGCACAGCAGAGGCTGATCATTAGTTTTGCAGGATTTTGATGTGATGATGCAGCTTGATGAAGAGAACCAAATGTAATGGCAATCCATCAACACTGTCGGGACGTTTCACTTAAAGTCTCTCACTTCACTTTATTTCACTAAAATCTGAGCCTCAGAAACATGAGGAATTATCATCTGGGAACCATGAATGCCTGTAAAAAGATTTCACAGCAATCTATCCAATAGTTGTTTAGATATTTCAGTCTGGACCAAAGTGGTGGAACGACACTGCCGTCCTTGAGTCGTGCTGCTAGCGTGGCTAAAGTGCAGCATTTGGGATGGAGTCTCATCAGCTCTCCACAGAGAACCAGACATGTGCCATTGGTTTACACCGAGCCTGTGTTCTCATGTTATGGTTCCAGCCAAAGAGATGTGAAGCCTATTGTCCTCACATGACTGGCATTATTAAAGAGCAGCCTTCCTCATCGAACTTCAGCACCGCTTTAACTGCTTTCTTGATCTCTCTGACTCTCGGTGTTTCGCTCTTTGTCACCATCTTTACTGCGTTTCACTGCCTCTCAACACTTTGTCTTCTGCTCTCTGTCTGTGGTGTTTTGGATTAGGGACTGTCTGGTTGGAAGATGTGGTATTTGAAATGGCACTGTGTGTGTGTTTGTGTGTGTGTTCGACTGTGTGGCACGCATTTGTGGAAGTCTTTGTCTTTGTGCGTATGAGTGAGGGGTAGTGTGTGTGTGCAAATGTGAGAGATTTACATGTATGTAAATGTGTGTGGGCATGCAAATGACAGACAATAGCAGCATAAAAAACACAAGCTGAGACAGTCACACAACGTTTTCACAGACGCACAAAGACGGTGACGACTGTCTATCATAAATCAACTATTCTAAGTATGACCCTGTGAATAGGCGTCCGGAAAGTGACACAACGGCCACGACAGTGTCATGAAAATTCTTTTCACATTTCCTGGACAGTAACGGCAGAGCCCGAGCGGGAACTGCCCCTTCGAACAAGAGTCCCCTCTGAGTGAGGAGAAAGGGGTACATTGTAGGCCGGGACCCAAAGGTCACCATGGCTGTTAGGCTCACACTCTGCCTGGACTCCCGCTGACTCACTGCTGGTCCAACCAGAGGACGACGACCAGGACTAATTTGTGTACGTCTTGGGCCACCATTTGTCAAACATTAGTCACGCCGCCCATTTAGGTGATGAACATGAAGAGTTCTGTTCTCCAGACACACTCTGGGGCCCAAATGTGGATTTCTCAA